TCTACTGTAGGTATGTAGACGACTGCTTTGTCCTTTGCTCAACACAAGAGGAAATGGACAAATGCTTTGAGTTGTTAAACGCACAGTCAGAGTATATCAAGTTCACCCGAGAAAAGCCGAAAGAAAAATGGCTTCCATTTTTGGACGTACAAATTCACCTATCAGAAAATGGCTACATTACAACGTGGTACCGAAAGCCAAGTAGTAAAAACATCTTGGTTCATTACCTCTCCTCTCACCTCTCTCACACGAAAAGGGCGCCTATAAGAAACATGTTTCGAACAGCAACCAACGTGTGCACGGGAAGAGAGCAGAGAGAGGAGTCCCGGAACTTGGCACGGCAAATAGCCGTTTCTATTGGCTACGAAACTGTAGGTCAGAATAGGTGTAGAGGAAATCGTAGGCCTCCAAACGTCAACTCTAGCGATAGAAGGGTCCTGTTTATCCTACCCTTCATCTCATATGATATAAGTACAGCTATAAAACGCTGCTTAAGAAAGGCGGGCTTAGAGAATTCGGTGAGCGTAGTTGAAATACCACCGAGTAATCTTAAGCGCCAGCTAGTTCGTAACCGCCTATATGACCGTCTATGTGCAACTCAAAATTGCATAATTTGCCCCAGTGGTAGAGACGGTGATTGCATGAGCTCGGGTATAGTTTGTCTGATCGTGGTGACGAATACATTGGCGAAACGGGTAGACCCCTCTGTGTCCGCATGAAAGAACACCTAGCCGGCAAAAATAGACCAAATACCCCGCTAGGCACGCATAGGACCCAGAGACATAACGGGGACGACTTCGAAGTATGTGTCACGATCCTAGCACGCGAATCAAGAACACAGGCGCGAAAAACTCTCGAGGCACTCTGGATTAATTCCAGAAATCCGAAAATGAACCGCAGGGAAGAATGCCTCATTATCACGCGTGATATAGGGCAGTATATAAAACTGCTTTTCTGATGTGAGGGGCGCATTATACTTCCACGTGATTTCTGTGCGGTTGGTCTCTACGTGACATACTTAGTGGAAACCTCATAGAAAGCGGTGAGTGTGCAAAGCTGTGTTCAAAGTGATTGAAATCTTGGTTTGGAGTTTCTTTGTTTGGTTATGGAGGCGTCTGGCCGAATGAGTTGCTATCAACTTGACCTTTCCAGGCTCTGAAGAAGGCGAAATCCGCCGAAACGTCAGCTTAATCGTGAACAAAAAATAGTAACACCTCGCGTTTGCTCAACAAAAATACGAAGAAAACAGGGGAATATAAGCATGCTTAAAGCGGTTTTTGTTTAAGTTCTCAGGTGTACAGATATTCCTGTAGTCAATAGCCGGCGAAAAACCGAAGGTGATTTCGTAGCACGGAAAGGAAAAAATATCTTTATTTCCCCCATTCTTCTCCTTTTATGCGTACGCACAAAAATTTATATATTTTAATAGGGATTAATTGGTCCAGTTGAAGCGCTCTTTCGATCTATTGAGGAGAATTTTTACGATGACTGTTACTTTCTTAAAATAGTTGTTGCAGATTCCACCACTCCACCAGAATCCTCAGACGACTCCTGTTCCGCAATCAGTCCAATCTCCATCACCTCAATGCTTAAATCAGTGTGGTACTGGCTGTCAACAAAGTTGCCTTCAACGAAATCCCCAGCCTCAAGAAGGATGTAATAGAAGCTGTGCTAACACATGTAACTACGTGAGATTAGAAAACATTGGATTACTAAATACTTTAGCTTTCAATCTAAGACGAGCTAAAAGAATCCCCAACTTCCTCCGATCTATACGCTTGCTGGGATTCTTGGAACCCAGTGATTAGAAATGTCGAGAATTGTATTGTCAAACACAGTCTTCGGACAACCAACTCTTCAATTCTTTTGGGATTGCAAACGACACATATAAAAAAACGAAGTCCCCAAGTGTAGGAGAACCAGCACACAGACCAGAGATCTAGATAGAAGACTAGTGGAAGGCAATAAACCGAACACCAGTAGACACAGTATGTGAAATCAAATCATATAAACACAAACTTTCTTACTTGAATACTTGGACAGTTCTTCGTTATAACGAAGTGCGCTTCACCCAGTGCAATTGCTTACTCTGTGCTGTGACAACTTTTCTTTCTATAGTGCATGGTCTTTTAAGAGTTTGCTGCGAAGAAAGATCCTCAACGAATGTCATAGGTGAACAACTAGGAGCATCCTCGAACCATTATGAGGCGATAAATCATTCGGGAGTAGTGGTAGGGAAGGGGCGAAAAATACTTGGGGTTTTAGTAGCGCCGCCAAAATCCAAGTTAGAACTCACAAATAAGAATAAAACGAGAAAAAACGAAGCTTACGGTGCTCTCCTAAACAAATCTGATCGCAAATGTCTGATGTCAGATAGACTGAAGATTTAGTGGGCCAGCCGTACGGGATCAAACCAATGAGTAAATGTGTTTTGCAGGGCACCTCTAAACTTTGCGCTACACCCACATTTTTCATTGAAATGTAAAAGTGAAATGTAGCAGTACATGGCCATAAAATTAAACAATGTTACCGACGTCTTATTATCCTCTGTTCCTACTTTAAAGACCTTAAAATTAATCGCAATCCGAAAGGACACAAGGAATTTAATGGCGAGATTGTTCACCTTACGTAAACCTAGCAGTACCGCTCTCCAACTAATCTTTCGTTCAGTGATAAAACTTCTCTTATGGATACCGGCTCATTTTCAGCAGTTCGTACAGTCTTGTTAAGCTGTTTGTCAGCTTCATTAGATAAAACAGATTTTCAGCAATATTCTCACAGGCATGTATTGCAACTAGTGGAATATCCTACAAGGATTATTCTTATCGTCTTCAAATAGCACGGTAGTCTTTAGCTGCTTGCTAATCCTTTAGGTCTGTGCATCCTCTCCTCTCTCTCAAATGACGGCCACGGATGTGTCAATCTATCCTGTACGACTTGATCCAAGAGAGAGGTCTGTCTTTAACTCCCAAATTAAAACACTGTTTTTAATGCCCAGTGATGCCTAATTTCGTATGATTACCGTAATGGATGATTGTTTCCACATCTTCACGGATTTGCCGACTTTTCGAAAACAGGAGGCAATATTTCTATAGCCAAAACACTTAACCTGTTGAGAACATTGCTGAAATCTCGAATAGGTTCTACTCTATCGCTTCAGGGGTATAGGTGATATATACACCACTATTTGCTACACGTTACCATGGTCGGTCATGAAAACACTTCTGTCAACTCTTTCCACTTTTGTTCAGCAAACACGAGGTGCTATTCCACATCCCGACTCACGTAAAGGCTGACGTTTCGGTGGATTTCGCCTTCCTCAGAGCCTGGAAAGGTCAAGTTGACAGCAATCTATTCGGCCAAACACCTCCATAACCAAACAGAGAAAACGCTAAACCAAGACTTCTACCACATTTAACATAGCTCCGCACACTCACCGCTTTCTATGAGTCTTCCACTAAATATGTCACGTGGAGACCCACCGCACAGAGTTCACACTGAAGCGTATTGCGCCCATTTTATCAAAATAACAGGTTTATATACTGTCCAATATCACGCGTCATAATGAGGCATTCTTCCCTGCGATTCATTTCCGGATTTCTGGAGTTAATCCAGAACGCCTCGAGACTTTTGCGCGCCTGCGTTCTTGATTCCTGTGCGAGGATCGTGAGACGATCTTCAAAGTCCTCCCCGTTATGTCTCTGGGTCCTATGCGTGCCTAGCGGGGTATTTGGTTTATGTTTTCCTGCTAGGTGTTTTTTTTATGCGGACACAGAGGGGTCTGCCCGTTTCGCCAATGTATTCGTCTCCGCACGCCTTACAGAAGATCAGATAAACTATACCCGAGCTCACGCAATCACCGCCTTTACCATTGGGGCAAATTATGCAATTTTGCGTTGCACATAGACGGTCGTATAGGAGGTTACGAACTAGCTGGCGCTTAAGATTACTCGGTGGTATTTCAACTACGCTAACCGAATTCTCTAAGCCCGCCCTTCTTAAGCAGCGTTTTATAGCTGTACTTATATCATATGAGATGAAGGGTAGGATAAACGAGACCCTTCTATCGCTAGAGATGTTGTTTGGAGGCCTAGGATTTTTCCTACACCTATCCCGAGCTACAGTTTCGTAGCCATTGGAAATCGCTATTTGCCGCGCCAAGTTCCTGGACTCCTCTCTCTACTCTCTTCCCGTGCACAAGCTGGTTGCTGTTCGAAACATGTTTCTTACAAGCGCTCTTTTCGTGTGAGAGGGGTGAGAAGAGAGCAATGTACCAAGATGTTTTTACTACTTCGCTTTCGGTACCACTTCGTAAAGTAGCCATTTTCTGACAGGTTAATTTGGACGTTCAGGAATGGATGCCATTTTTCTTTCGGTTTCTCTCGGATAAACTTTATATACTCTGACTGTTTATTCAACAACTCGAAACGCTTGTCCATTTCCTCTTGTGTCGAGCAAAGGACGAAGCAATCATCTATATATCTACAGTAGAGTAGCGGCCCGAGATCAATCACCGGTGCTTCCACCTTAGACATAAACGCAATGGCAAGGGCTGCTGGTTTAAGACCATCAGGTATCTCTCAACTAAAAATTGACATACCAACATGTCCCGTCTTGTACTTGCTTATAAAAACTCATAGGTTAGTATCCAGCGATGATCTTGCGTCTACCGATCCATCATTATTTAAGGTTAGACCTATCATTAGCCGTGTAGACAGGCCAACAGACAGGATAACATGGTTTTTAACCCTAATATTTAACCAGTTGTTGAAACACATTCCAGCCCATCTTACGAATACGGAAATGTTTCTGGATCGTCTACGTAATGCGCAGCCCAACAGCGCGTGCGTGATGGAGTCCTTTGACGTTACCGCCCTTTATACAAACGTGTCGAATGACTCCGCAATGCAAGCCATATTCGAACTCCTTACACAACACGAAAGAGAAATAAACATGTATGGCTTCACGATAGAGCACCTGATGGCACTCTTAAAAGAATGCCTGAGCTGCTCAATCTTCAGATGGCCCGGAAAGTACTACGCTCAAATAAGAGGGTTGGCAATGGGACAACGACGGGCACAAAGTCTCGCCATTGCGTTTATGTCTAAGGTGGAAGCACCGGTGATTGATCTCGGGCCGCTACTCTACTGTAGATATATAGATGATTGCTTCGTCCTTTGCTCGACACAAGAGGAAATGGACAAGCGTTTCGAGTTGTTGAATAAACAGTCAGAGTATATAAAGTTTATCCGAGAGAAACCGAAAGAAAAATGGCATCCATTCCTGAACGTCCAAATTAACCTGTCAGAAAATGGCTACTTTACGAAGTGGTACCGAAAGCGAAGTAGTAAAAACATCTTGGTACATTGCTCTCTTCTCACCCCTCTCACACGAAAAGAGCGCTTGTAAGAAACATGTTTCGAACAGCAACCAGCTTGTGCACGGGAAGAGAGTAGAGAGAGGAGTCCAGGAACTTGGCGCGGCAAATAGCGATTTCCAATGGCTACGAAACTGTAGCTCGGGATAGGTGTAGGAAAAATCCTAGGCCTCCAAACAACATCTCTAGCGATAGAAGGGTCTCGTTTATCCTACCCTTCATCTCATATGATATAAGTACAGCTATAAAACGCTGCTTAAGAAGGGCGGGCTTAGAGAATTCGGTTAGCGTAGTTGAAATACCACCGAGTAATCTTAAGCGCCAGCTAGTTCGTAACCTCCTATACGACCGTCTATGTGCAACGCAAAATTGCATAATTTGCCCCAATGGTAAAGGCGGTGATTGCGTGAGCTCGGGTATAGTTTATCTGATCTTCTGTAAGGCGTGCAGAGACGAATACATTGGCGAAACGGGCAGACCCCTCTGTGTCCGCATAAAAAAAACACCTAGCAGGAAAACATAAACCAAATACCCCGCTAGGCACGCATAGGACCCAGAGACATAACGGGGAGGACTTTGAAGATCGTCTCACGATCCTCGCACAGGAATCAAGAACGCAGGCGCGCAAAAGTCTCGAGGCGTTCTGGATTAACTCCAGAAATCCGGAAATGAATCGCAGGGAAGAATGCCTCATTATCACGCGTGATATAGGCGATATATAAGCCTGTTATTTTGATGGGACAGGAACATTACGCTTCCATGTGAATTGTGTGCGGTTGGCCTTTACACGACATACTCAATGGAAAACTCATAGAAAGCTGTGAGTGTGCAGAGCTGTGCTCAATGTGATTGAAATCTTGGTTTAGCGTTTTTTCTGTTTGGTTATGAAGGTGTTTGGCCGAAAAGGTTGCTGTCAACTTGACCTTTCCAGGCTCTGAGGAAGGCGAAATCCGCCGAAAGGTCAGCTTTTACGTGAGTGGGGAAGTGGAATAGCACCTCGTTTTTGCTGAAGAGAAATGGAAAGAATTGTTTAATCAATGCCGAGGTTAATAGAAAGTTGGACGTGGGACTTACTGTTGTCAACATTTGAGGTGCTCTGGAGCTTATGTTGAGCCCTTTTCTATAATTTTTTCAAGACCTGTGTCACCTGTGGTCCCCTTCATCGTCGAGTGACTACAGCGGGGCCAGTAAATCTTCCTTTGTTCCCTGTCGCTTGTTAGAGTAGTCCAGTGGGTTTTGCTCATTCTAGTGGCTCGTTGATCATCATATCTTTCATCTAAGCTTTTAGTGAAGAGCTCTGGCCATCGGTGATCTTCTCACAGTGGGTTTGACATACCGAGGAATCCAGTCACTCGCGGCTCTTGTGCATCGGTTGTAGTTCATTGGCATTACGTGTCCGACCTGGCTTACTTTCGACTGTTTGGCGTACAGAACGGTATCTCTCATTTTTGATCGTTGACGCAGGTCGAAGCTTTGGATCCCTTCCCTTACTTGTGTGAAACGGGATACGATACTCTAGCATCGTCCTTTCGAGTGTGCGTTCTATAAAGCTGAGTGAGCTTTCATCCTGCTTACGCAGCGACCACGTTTCTGACGCATACGTTGGGGCAGGAAGTACCGTTGAGTCGAAAAGGTGGTCAAGGAGTTAGGTGTTCATTGTTCTCTTCACTACATCCTCGATGCCCTTGAAAGCTTCCCAAGCCACTCGTTTTCTTCTGCTCAGCTTTGTAGCTAGGTCGTTGATCATATTGATTTCGCGACCTAGATAGACGTAACTCGAGCAATCGGAGATATTCGTTCCGTTGAGCGTGAATGGGGCGTGCGAAACCAATCCGTTCTTCATGAACATCGTTTTTATGAGATTTAGCCGAAGATGAATCCTTCCACAGGCTTTATCAAAGTCGTCAAGCAGACGTTCCGCTTGGCTGATGTCTAGTGTTATGAGGACAATGTCATCAGCAAAGCGAAGATAATGTAACTGCCGACCATCAATTTTCAGTCCTATGTTATCCTACCCCAATGTTGACATGGGGTCTCGAGGGTGGCGCTATGTATTTTTGCCGAGATGGTTTCGCCTTGTCTGACCACTCTTTTGACTTAAACGTTAATATAGTTGTAGAATGTTAATATCTTGACTGTGAAGTTTTTGTACAGCTCACAAAGAAACTTTATGTTCTGAGTAGGGACTCCCTGACTATCAAGGGCTTCCATGACTGCTTCTATCACAATTGAGTCAAAGGCTTTCTGTAAATCAATGAAAGTGAGACAGAGCGGTCTTTTTGTACTCTCGCAATACTTCAATGGGCTTCGCTACAGTGTGGATGTGGTCCATCGTACTAAATTCTTTTCGAAACCCTGCTTGTTTATATGGCTATCCTTTGTCCATTCTTCTGTCAATCCTTTTTAGGATCACTGGAGTGAAAAGTTTGTAGACGGCGGACACCAAGGAGGGTGGGGCTCTAATTCTCGATATCGTGGAGGTAACTCTTCTTAAACAATACCACGGTCTTGCTGGTCTGCTTAATGAACAGGGACCTCGCATTCGGACGGGCAACTTGTGAACAGTCTGGGCGGTGTGATAACGGCGACTGGCGGAAGGTTTCTGAAGTGTTCTGATCTTATCCTGTCTGGACCTCGCGCTGTACGATTTTTCGCCGACGAAATATCATGGCTATTTTTTGGAAGGGAGAACCGGTGGTACGACATATCCATCCTCCTTTACATCACACGAGGGAAGGAGAGCGTGGCGAATGACGAGATCTGAGTAGTAGACGTGAATGATTTTCTGCATTGCCCTACTGGACAAGTGCAATTACCTCGGCATAGTAATTGGCGAAGATTCGGTGGGAAACGCGAACGCTTTTCCCAGCCTCTGCAGCTTAACCAAAACTGCCGGTCTTCTTTGTCTACGATCTTCTTTAATCGCCTGTCTGCGTTGTTTTTGATGTTTGGACGTCAGTTCGCGGTTGCCTGCAGCTCGTACGATTCCAAGCTAGCGTAACAACTCAGTGTTTCTGGAGGCAGATTTCTCTTGGTCACTTTCGAACTCTCAGCTTTCATAGCGTTAACGTGAATATGTTGAATGAGCCAATCGTATTCTTCACCGATGTTACCGACAACGGCATCTTTCCAAGAACTGACCACTGAATTAAATAAGACTCAGTTTACAGTGACCTTGGAACTTTGTTTTTTGAATTTGACGGCCTTTTCTTCTTTTCGCCGAAAATGGAATCTCGCACGAAGGTCTGATGCCGTGTAGAATTTTAGGACAGCAGCGACATCGGTTAGGCAAAGACTTATATTTACTAAGATGTGGTCTATCTCGTCATGGTACTCTCCATTGGGAGACTACCACGTCCAGAGTCGAGGGTGGGGCTTCTGGAATTGCGAGTGACCATGGAATGCCCTGTCCGCCATGATAAACTCAGCCACTCACCCTGTAAGTTCCATTCTAATCCGTTGGTCTCAATGAGATGTTCTTCAGACGTTCTTCTTAGTCCAATCTTAGCGTAAAAATCACTAATGATGACCTTGAAGAATGTGTCGTCTTCTCTGTAGAACCTCTCCAAGTCCATATAAAACGTTTCGGCTTCTTCTTCGTCATAGTTTGATGTCAGCGCGTAAACGACGAAGTTTGTCAAAACTGGTATTGATCCACATCTTCTTAATCGTAAACGTCGGATTCGAGTTGTAAGTTGTTCGAATGATTCGATGTTCATGGACAAACTCGTGTTGACGAAAACGCCGACGCCGCCTACTCCTCTACTGTCGCAGCTCCGAAAAACAGTTCTTCTCCGATCTAATAGACGGCATTGAAAAGGTGGCGTCCACTCGTCTCAGCCAGGCCGATAACGTCGTACGTTATTTTTCTTGATTGAATGAGCAAGTCTTCTATCGAGGACTCGGATACAAGTGCACGCGCATTGTAGGTACAGATCGTCACCATAGTTCTTTGTAATCCAGGCAGCTTCCATTGGCCTTGAGATTTTAGCCGTCCCTCCATACTCGTCCTACCCAACGCTGCGAAATTGGAGCTCTTTCGGGATCAGGGGAATGAGGCCCGTTTTTTTTTACTGTGTTTAGCATTTTTGATACCTACGTATAGCTTGCTGGGCTGTGATTGTGGGAGCTGAGTATACGTGTAGCCTGCCAGGCTCTCCCAGAGAGGACATAGAGCTTATTTGTCGGAGGCGACTTCTAGCCGCCTCCCATATACCTCCCAGTCACTTGATTGCAGGCGTTTCGCCGAATTGACTCGTAGAATACCATTCGCATAAGCAAGAATGCACCCACACAGGCGTGCCTCAATACGTCTAGCAAATACAGAAAGTATGTGCCAAATCGGAGCAGCAGAAACATGGAGTCCATCTCCTAGACCCAGCTGCGCCTCAAGGCAGTAGGGGCCGCTTTTAATCCGCGTTTAGTCTCCTATCCGTCACTTGAGGGCGCGCCACATAGCCTCGGGACTAACTCTCTCGGGATCCCTCATGTGTATTTGAAGACACCCTTAATATAGCTCACTACTGCGAATGCAACTGAAATAACAGTCAGTTGCCACTCAAATTGTCTCAATCGAGGTTATACCGGTCATTTCGTCTTAACAAGTTGTACCACGTCGTAGCATGAAAGTTAAAAAGAACTTTCTTTTCCATTCAGGTGTTCTTCTGAATGTCAGTCAGTCTGCCAAATAGTATGTAGAACTCAGCTCACGGCAAGGAAGTGCTTTGATTCATGTGCGCCTCAATGTGAGAGAGTTTGTGAAGAGCCGCAGGTATCTCCATAAAATAATTTCTGCGAAATTTGAAATAGAACTAGTATGTTAAAGAAGTGATGCAAAACATCTGCCAATGACAAAAAAGTCACTCAAAAGGGTTTGTTTGATGAAAATCTGGATTAAAAGGTTAAGAGGGTCATACCTAGTTCTCACCTTTACACATAAACATACACCATGCTTACAACAGTGAATACACTTGCGACTTCACGCCATTTGTAATGCAGTGGCCAGAGGTGCCACGCAATACGCACGCTGTCATTGGCTCGACTGCGGCGTAGGTAAACCAAATCCTCCACAGTTCAGTGGTCGGCAGAATGGTAACAGACTGCTTTGAGAGGCCAAAGAAGCTGACGTTACATGGGTATGGATTCTACGAATGGAAACGAATATATGGTTCATTCACATGAAAGTGGAAAAAATTGGATGCATCGTACTTCACTCTCTATACTCAGAACAAATTGACCTTGTTTTTGCTCCAGATATCTGCATCCAGTTACCTTGCACACGTAATAACTGCTGTCTCTGTTCATTCAGGTTCAAGAACACTCTGCAAAACTTTTCTCTCAAAATCCACTTCAAAACACAACCGATTTGCACAGTGTTGATTTTTCGCAACAATCTACGGTCGCAAAGCAACAGCCATCGACGACAGCTGCGCCTCCAAAAGTCAACCTATCATGGAATTGGTTTCATCAAGCAGCTTCCACGTCAGAATAGGTAATACTAGAGCGACTTTGCCCTTGTACAGTTACCTGAGTTAAATTCTTCAGAATATTTGTCAAATCGAATTCTAGTGAAGTTTCTTGACTATACAACGATAAGCCATTGTAAGCAAATAATTTTAAGGCATTTGGACGCTGAGAATTTTAAAACTTCTCAACCTTTTGTAATAAGGGGCTAGTTGCCATCGTTTTTAAACAGACTTTTACTTAATCAGTATTCAAAGCCTACTTTTTTTTTTTTGAAAAAGAAAATGCCCTCTTTTTCGTTATAGAGGGTTCAATGTAGCTCACGATCCAACCTTTGTACCTAAAGTGGCTTTCAATTTGTTTCTTCAGAGTTTTGGTTTAAAAGAGGCTTCAGGCAATGTAACATTGAGATAAATAGTTGAATTGAAGTTCTTCCTTTAAGATATGGAGAGTACCTCTAGTGAAGACGGCTATGATTTCGTTTCTTGGAAATTCTACCATTCAATTCTTTACATTATCGGTTAAGAAGTAGTTTTTGTTTGTTTCTGTGCTAATATCTCATTCGATCAATTCGACACTTTCAGGTGAAATGTGTATGACTATGGATATGAATGAACATCTCGATGTGCCATTCCTAGGACAGCGACCGTTCCAACACTGCCCCTTGTAAGCACAAAGCCAGAACCGGCGGCTATGAAGAAATTTCCAGTCCAATATTGTCGTCCAAATATATATAATATCGTATATTGAAATTTCATTATTTACATAAAATAATGGTCTAAATTAAGCTGAAAGCTCTATAAAAACTAGATAGAAATATGGTGGCCATACTGTCACATAGGGGTTGGCGCTGCAGACGAACGTAAACCCTAAGAAGCATTTCTTATTCATCCAATTAGCCAAAAATCGATTGAAGTTTTACAATCTTTATGGTTTGAATTTTGGTCAAACGATATTGAAATAATCGAGTAAACGGCTCTGAATAAAAAAAAGGAAGCTTTTGAAAACGCTGTACTTTGTTCGCGGAACAGTAAAAAAAAAAGATAAAATAACGTGTTTTTCCTAAGGAATTGACTCGGTCGATACTAAATGAACTGAATTTTATCACAGAAAGGCTCAACGGAGCGTTATAAATATTAATAATAACATGAGCAATATCGACTGGCTCACGGTATCGATTAGCTTCGCGGTCTTCTAGTATGGATTCAGTTCAGACTAGTGTCATTATATGCGAATAGAATTTTTGTATACAGAACTATTTCGCGGTGGTCAGTTTCACTGAACGGATTGTATGTTATTTTACTTGCAGTTGTATTTATTTATTTCTACATGTTACGTAGACATGTTGAATTGCTGAAGAATATTTTGTTGCTTTAATATAATGTAATATTTCCCAGGACCAACTTTCTATTAACCTCGGCTTTGGGTTATAAATATGTCATTTTCTTTCTCAGCAATCGCGAGGTTGTTAAGCATCATATGTTTGCTTCCATACAATAACAATAATCGTAGCTGACCTTCCGGCAGAATCGCCTTTTTCAGAGCCTGGAAGGGTACACTAATATGTAATTTACTACGTCAAACGCTTCAACAGCACAAACAGAAGGATGAAGATCTGAACGACGATTACGAGACCTACGGCTTCTCGAAAAACCCACCGCTTTCTCCACCTGTCTTCCATCGAAAAAGAATAGCCACTCAGAGTCGCATATAACTGAGACTGCAAAATGTAATATTTTTTTTGGTGAGACAACCACATACAAGACTTAATTCGAAAAAATGAGGCAGTTCATTTTTTGAATGGAACCGTCTCAGTTTATTGTGTGTATCCCAGCATTTATTTCATTCGCTTCGTCTTCGTCTACCTCTACTATCATGAATGCCCTCGCGTTTGCATCAACAACTTGATGACTTTGTCTCCTTCATGAATGCCACTGGGTACCGATCGAGTTTATTCACTCTAGAACGCTTGGATAGTTTTGCTAGAGTATTCCATAGTTTCAACCACAGGTGCTTGCATACCTTTGATAATCACCGTGAGGGTTCCCAGACGAACCTGCTACCAATTTGGAAGCCCAATGGAATTGGGGGCTGGCTGACGGCAGTTGCGTAGGAACAACGACCATGCTGCGTATCATCTTTAACCATTTCACTTCTTGAAACCCTGTAATCAAATAATTTAAGGTTATGGAAGTAATATACGTCTTGAACCTTTTAGTGTACAAAAGAATCAAGGTTGTCAGTTACAAAATCAATGTTTGTCTTATCACTTGTGTCAAATGTACTGAAACTTCTACCATTAAACTCTATTGGTTCCCATTGAGCATAAAAATTGTTTAGGAGGACTCTGCTGCATTAATGGACGCGACCATTACCGCAGTTTTTCAATGAAGACCTTTATTTTTACAGTTATTGGGACCACAGTACATCCAGGTAGCTCTAATCATGACAGAGTAGACGGGGCTTACCAGTTACCTGATTATAAGCGTTCCATCAAGATGACATACAATATGCACACAACTAGCATTCTCACTTATGCACGATTCAAATATAATGATGACTGGTATGAATATGATTAGTATGGCGTCTATAGTGGCGCGTGTAGCGCAGTGGCTAAAGGCGCCTTGCAACACAATACACATGGGACCACCAAGTCCTCCATCCTTCCGGGGTCGGCAAATTGGTATCGGACCTCTCTGGGAGAATAGCAGCACTAGCTCTATACATCTGTAGGCCAACGCGAGTCATCGTTTGGCCGGATGAGCGTTTAATCACCTCGGACGATGCTTAGGGAAGCCGAATGCACGGCGCATCTCTCCGAGATTGACCAACGCTGAGAATTTCATCGTTTTTCTTTATGACGTGTATGCCGGATGGTATGCTTTTTGACAGACATATGGTCAATGGTATGCATTTGATAGAAGACGTTAAACTTTAAAAATGGATTCGGCGGTTTCAGCCCTTGTCAATTACTTTGCATCAAAGTAGAACCAGAACACAAATAGAGTTTACACTACGTTTACTTCTTATTTAAAGCGAAATCTTTTTTCATGATAGGGTATAATGTGAAGTATAACTAGAGTGATCCTGAGATATTTAAAAAACTTCGGACCGCGGGCGACTGTGGTGGGGAACGAACCCATTATTACACTTTCTGGGGCTAACGTGTTCTTAACCATACAATGCGGGTCCTTCGTTTCGTCTTTCCCTCAGCAGTTTTTAAGAGTTCACAGCGTTAATCTGTCCCTATGAAATAGGATATTCATTTGCATCGTCAGCGGAGCAGCCACCGAAGGTCTTAGCAGTAGTTTTTTTTTTTATTTTCTGTGAACCGTCTTCACGTCTACTGTGCGGATCCCAGCACTTCTCACTTTCGATTCCTTTCTTCGCATCCATTGTCCACGAAGGTCTTCCAACTTTACGTGTGGCTGCGGTTTCCGCTTGAGGACTTTGATTTCATCTTGAGTGTTGTAGAATGCTGGTCGATTTGATTCGATTCTCCCTGGAGTCCTGAGGTAGGCCTGTAGCCTTCCCACTTGGATTGCAGCGAGTGATTTTTTCCCAGACAAGTCCGGTACCAATTTCCCGACGCCGGGGGAATGATAGGCCTGGTTGGCCCGGAGCGGAGTCAGGGTGCTACAATGATCGTGATGACGGACATTACTACCACTATGCTAACTGCCCCCATCACTAATAATAACATATGAAGTTAAAAGCATAACGCTGTCGGCGTTGATCAAACCCTGAGGGATGCGCCATGCATTTGCTCTTACTAAGTATCGTTGGAGGTGATTGAATGCATACCTGGCCTTTAAAATGAGTCGCGGTGGCCTATCGATGTATCGAGCCAGTGCTGCCATCCTTCCGGACAAGTCTGGTACCAATTTGGCGACCCCGGAGAGATGGAAGGCTAGGTGGTCCATGGGCGCGGGGATCGGTTCCACGTGTGTCACAGTGGCGCCTCTAACCATTGCACCACGCGCTCCTATAAATGAAAAATTTTGCTGCCTAATCGGAACTATGAAGAGTTCGCCACCAGTTTTTCAAATAAAAAAAGAGGCTAATTGCGCAGAACGTTCTAAAATGCTTGATTTCGCTGCCTAGGCAACAGCAGCAATTTTATGCTCCATTGGCAATTTCTCACGCGATTGCTAAAATCGGTGGTTTTCTGGCAATATTCTAAATATCAGCTAAAGCTAATGTCGCGATTTGTGCCTACTTTTAAAGCACCGAGCTCTGATGTAGTGAAGAAGTTCGTTAACAAAGTCGCTGCCATTGATCGGTTACTTGTGCTGACTGGAGCCGGAGTGTCAACCGAATCAGGTGAGTGACGTTCTTCTCTTCTTCTCTGGAAGATTTATGTTCTGTTATAACAGCTTGGAAAGTGTTGCTAATTGTCCAGCAGTTATCTCTGTGGCTTTAAGGCGCAGTAGTCCTCTATAGAGGTTCGTAAGTTTGTTTGGAGTCTCCCTTCTGATTAACTTGGCCTGTGGCTTATTCTACTACTACAGTAAAACCACTTTGCCTGAGGGTAGTTATCCACTTCTTCTTAAAGGTTTACCTGACTACCGTTCTGAGAAAATCGGCCTTTTTGAGCGATCCAACTATCGACCTGTAACAATTCAAGAATTTATGGCCTCTGAATCTGCAAGGAAACGGTTATATTTTCTTTTCTTTTAGTTTTTCTTTACTGAGTTTGTCTGTATAGCGAGACCTTCTCAGATTCTGGTCTCGTAATTTCTTAGCATGGCCGAGATACTCGCGAGCGAAGTGTAACAAGGCTCATTTCACGGTCGCTTCATGGGAGCGATCCGACAAGTTTGTCTGGCTCATCACGCAGAATGTTGACGGTCTCCATATGAAGTTAGTCATTAGTTTTGTTCTTTTCGTTTAAATTCTATATTGATAAGAGTGACTTGGTTACATAGATGGCCCGTCTTCACTGGTTGTGCGGGCGCCAGCATTATTTCCATTTTTTCGGAGTTTTGCTGGTTTAGCTAGTCAGAACCAGAGACAGTCGCCGTCCTTGTGGATTAGAGGCAGATTTGCCACCATGCGGCTAGTTTATTACCAAGACGGTGGTGGATCCCGGAGATGGAAGGCTTGATGGGCGATGGGCGCGGTGAACGACTCCACCGGGTGTGTTGCAGGGCGCCTCCGACCACTACTCCACACGCTCCCTTCACTGCAGTAGTCACCGGCCATTGTAAGCAGTTAAAGAAGAATTCTCTGCCTTTCGATTTAGTATAAAAAATGATGAACATATTATTAAGATGTTGGGACAAAAAGTAGAAACATGCTAGACTTAAGGTCTCCGCAGCGTTTTAAATAAATTCTCGGTATAAACTTATGCAGTCCTATTTTATTCACTGCTTCTCGCACACCAATTTCCTCCCTTAGCTGGTCTTCCTGATGAAAACGCCGGATTCCTTCTTAGTTTGGTGGAGGCACGCAGGAATACTTAATCCACGATGAGGCGGCAAACCATTGGGAGGTGATCAAAGATAGCCTAATCCAAACATTATTGCCAAGTTTGGTTCCTTCTTAGATTTATAAACGGGGTAGACTTATCGATAGTTAGAAGTGATAACATTGAGAAGTTGCCCTAGTAGACCGCTAATATGAGAAAGCGATTTGATCTGTCCTTCAGTGGCTTGTCAGGAAGTTGGCGTTTCGTCGACAGCATTGAATGTGGTAGAACTAGGTAGGAGATTTTGAACTGCAGCAATGGTATTTGCACTAGCTGAACTATATTTACCCCTTTTGCCGGCTCGGCACAGGCTTTACGCTTTAATAAGCTTCAGAGCAGCTACTATGCCGATTGGTAGGTAGTCTTCTTCTCAACAGATATCTTTGAGATGTTAGCTTACTTGTCTCTTAAAATGTTTATGTCACGTACTCTAACTGATGTAGTAGTTGAGGGCTGGATCCACTTTACTTACCGAGTTACACGGTTGTGGACATCGTGTAAGATGCATGCAGTGCAACGATGTCACTAGCAGGTAGGTGAACCTCACACCAGTTAGTTAGTTTCGTTGTTGAACATTGAATAAAGATTGAGTGGAATGAAAGTATGAGAATTTTCAGTTCAGTGGCCTTTGATTGATTCATGGTTGACTTTAGAGAAGAACATCAACGAGCTTTGGAAAAACTGAATGCTGAGTGGATGAAAGTAAACGTTCCCGGAGAAATGGCTCCTGATGGTGATGTCGAGGTCGATGAAGGGGCACACGAGGTTTGTGAGTATGAATAGCTTTTTTTTATGTTAGTGACACGGTGTTCAAGTTGTGTTATTGTCATCTATTATTTATTCCCTTCAACACAGTTCATCAGCTTAATGGACTGTGTACTTTTTCGGTAGAGGTCAAGTCATCTCTGGTTTCGTCGGTTTTGGTGTGTAACTGCTGCTTGTTTCTAGAATTATGAAATCCATAATATGAATAGCAATCCTTGTTCGCCTTCTGCTTCTCAGTATTTTATACCATTTAGTCGTTTGTATTGCCATCATGTAAAAAATGTGGTGGAATACTGAAGACGGATGTCGTATTTTTTGGAGACAATGTCGCTCAAGAAGAAGTCCACTTATGTTATGAAAAGGTATGTGTTTCTACTTCCTCAGTGTTTTTGGTTCGGTTTTTGTTTCGGTGGACTTTACGTGTCATGAAGTTTTTAGATACCTTGTGTATACTTATTTGGAAACCTCTTCTTTACTGATTGTATGGGCCTCAGCGATATTTCCCGTTATTTCGTAGTTTTGCTGGTTTAGCCGCTGTGATGCCCTGGAGTCCTGAGGTCAGCCTGGTCAAAGTCTGTCACCGGTCGTCACGACCACAGGCAGTTGTCGTCCATGTGGATCAGAGGGAGATTTACCACCATGCGACTATTTTGATACCAGGACTTTGGTGGATCCTGGTATTGGTTTAATCTTAGATGGGGCTTTTGGTGAGAGCGCTGAACTCCTTCTCAGCTTCGGAGACCTTGCCAGGAAATGAATCCTCCGCTGTACATCGCAGTCCGACACACAGGAACACTCTCCAGCCACGATGAGGTGGTAAACCGTTAGGATGACCTTGTGTATAACACAGCCGAAGTTTTCCATAGAAATTTATCTCTAGAGATCGTTATGTTTTTAGAGGCGTCCTTGTTACGGTACAGGCCATTATTCTGATGAATCTCAATGTAGGGTATACTACTTAGAAGTTTTATGAATGCCAGTCAATGTCGAGCTTAATTAACGTGTTTTTGACTTTTTAGGCAACAAGTTCTTGGTGAATGAATTTCGAGAAAATTTTTTCTGCGAACTCTTGCAGTATCTTCTTATCATACAACTCATTTTTAGTTGGATGAGTGTAGTGGCGTGCTTGTGTTGGGATCGTCGCTCACAGTGAATTCAGGATTCCGATTCGTTTATTACGCCAATTTACAAGGAAAACCTGTGCTTATAGTGAACATTGGCCCTACTCGAGCAGACGACTTTGCGGATATGCGAATTAGCGTCCCAGTGACAGAAATTATAACTATGTTGTAGTAATTGTAACACCGTTTATGTAATGTGCATGAAATTTTTAACAGACTGTGGCCCAACCAGTGTGCGGTCCAGCCTCGGTATGGAGTTGTTTTATATTGTTTTACTAGTTACGTAAGTTGTACAGTTATAATTTGCTCTTTTTTGGAGAATTCTCTCAGTTATGTCTCCAAGGTGGTTCTAATCAACGAAGAAAAATTAGTGCAAATTACAAATTACAAAGAGGTTGCAAATTACAAAGATTGGTGTAACTAGACAATTTAACTAGTGGTAAAGTGTCTAACTGCAAGGAACCATTGTCGACTGTGCTGTACGTGTACAACATCGAGGTTATACCTATTAAAAGGTGCTTTGAATATCGTAAATGTGGCGAATGAAGGGGCTCAACAGACGAACACAGAAGATCGAACAAACACTAACGAGCATGAGCTTCTGCAAGCTCTCAGCTGAGGGTCCATTATTCTGAAGTGTTGTGGTAAATGTCTCTTTCGAAATGTTCACATGGGAGCTGACAGTTCTTAAGGTTGATGACATTTTGGGAAAGAATGTAATTGAAAGTTATTGGATTAAAGTGGAAGCTTCTATAAACAACGAGGAGACTCTTAGTTTTAGAAAAGACTTCAATTTAATCTCAGGATGGATTATCAATGCGTATCTTCTTTTATTGATAAGCTCGCACGAGTTTGGGGCAAAAATTTATTCTGCAAACGTTACGGCGTTTTCATCCTTCTCAGGACTGAATCAATTGTTGTCCACAGCCGTTCTTGAAATGTAGATCCTTAGGACAGTTATTGATTGTCTCACTGTCCTTCGAGCCACTTGTAATCGGTTGAGACTTTGACGCATCCGACTAGGTTTTTCAATATAGCAGAGTTTTGATATTGATTTCTCTTCGGCTAAGCAAGGGCAGATGGCTATCTTTGGTTACCTTGCTGAGAAAGTGAGTGTTTTCTGTAGGTAGAAACTCCAACTCTGTAAACATTGATTCCGCGGTGAATCCGCGAGGACAAAAAGCTATAGAATTCGTAAACACTAGTTAAATTCGAGTCGGTTGGTTAGTTATTTTAATTGGGAGATGAAATTCCACAGAGGTGTTTATGACGTAGTGAAGTTTACATCTATCTGCTTAATGCTTAGTGTAGAAAAAATTTACTCTTACTTTATGGGTGGGTCGTCTGTGTACCGGATTGTCTCAGAACGTACGAGCGCACTGACATAAAGTCGTTCATCGGTCGTGTCATATTTTGTGGTAGGACGAAAAGTCCTTTCTTTTGTTGGTTTCATTTATTCAGAACTAGTAGTAATTCATCATTTTAGGTTGAGCTGTACGAAAAACAAAAATACCCGTAGAGGATAAAATTATCCGTAAACTTAAAGAGAAAACTAAATGAAATGTAGTGAACATTGGAAGGACTTTTGCAATGAATAGAAGATACTGCAAATGATATTAAAAATATGTGAAAGCTTGAAATGGAGAGGTTTTCCGGATTAGAATATGACAGGAAAGTGGTAAAATGGCAGCTTGCCAAGATCATAAGAGGATGACGAAGTGCATCTTGCCGGTCTGACCACAGACTAGTCAATAAACATCTTTTGTTCTGTAGATGTAAAATATTATGCTATAATATAATAGTAATTCACACAAGCAGGAAACAATACTGTACCCGTAATGGGCGATTACATATTACATTTTTTGAATAATAAAAGAAAGCCGGTGTAGAATCCGATTTAACTAGATGAAGGTTGGTGAAGGAATTTTCGAGAGATCCTTACTGTATGCGCAACCATGGTAGTGTAGACGGAACCAATTTTCGATCCTTATGAGGACATGACCGAATGTTTGACGATAACGTGAACTCATGAAGCAATACAGTACAAAGTCGACACTGAAATCGAGCTAGTAAAAGAGGAATATGTTTGACTCAGTGACCAATCAGACTTATGCACATCACCGGTCCTATGTACCGTCTGCTGCGAACATTCGTGTCCATTGTGGATTCGTTCCAGGACAACAATTCAACTCAAGAAGCCAGCCAAGGAGGCGAGAGGTACTTTTTTTCGTTCACAAGTGGGGTCTACCTAGAATCCCGTTTTCCCAAAGTTCTGAAGACCTTGTTTTTCACCCATATTTGACAACGTGACCCGTAATCGTCCGCGCACGTTTAAATTCTCTAAGAGAATACTGACATGTCATTCTTTTTTATTTGCCTTAGCACTTCTAAATAGAGCTCCTCGATCTTCAGTTATCTGGAAAAGACGTTTAAGACTTTTTTCTATGATTTAGGAAACCACACAAAGGCAAAGTCATTAACGTCTTGCTTTGTTATTTGAGTGACTGGTCCAATGTGCATAGCAAAATGGTTAGAGGTTTCATGAAACGCAGACATAGTCGTTAATTCAATGCCGAGCCAGGCTCATCGAGCCCTACATCCCTCAATGGTTGAGAGATTGATATCACACTTGTCTGGAAGGAGAAGAACATTGAAATAACATATCAGGAAGTCATTCGTAGGCAAAATATGCTTCCGATCTCTACGATTCCTAATAAAGTTAAGTTCGTGACGGATTCCTTTCCCAAATCCTAACTGATTAATTAGCTTCTAGTAAACTAACCTGCAATTCACAAGTGAAAGCAGATCGAGTAGTTCACCCACATGCTGGTAGATATAATTATTCACATCGCTGCTGTATACACCTGTAATGAGCAGGCCTTTGGTGGTGTCAAATCACACTGTTATTTTCGTGAGTGCTTTCGCAATACATTTGTTACCGTTTTCTCTGTTTAGACTTGTTTTCACGAGGTCCACAAACTGAAGCACAATTTCCAGTCAACTAGTATTGTTCTAGTTAAACACATGCTTTATTCTTTTAGACTCAAGATCGCCAGTTTTTATTCGTGCAATCCCAAGATAGAAATATCCCCGGACTACAGTAAAGGATAACGCTCTAGGCGTCGATTAATTCCTGAGGGATGCGCCATGTATTTAACTTCATTGAGCATCGTTTGGAAGCGATTGAATGCATATCTGGTCTCTACAATGACTAGCGGTGGCCAACCGACGTATCAAGCCAGTACTGTTATCCTCCCAGACAAGTCTGGTACAAATTTGCCAACCCGAGAGAGATGGAAGGCTTGATGGGCGATGGGCGCGGTGAACGACTCCACCGGGTGTGTTGCAGGGCGCCTCCGACCACTACTCCACTCGCTCCCTTCACTGCAGTAGTCACCCGCCATTGTAAGCACGTTAAAGAAGAATTCTCTGCCTTTCGATTTAGTATAAAAAATGATGAACATATTATTAAGATATTGGGACAAAAAATAGAAATATGCTAGACTTAAGGTCTCCACAGCATTTTAAATAAATTCTCGGTATAAACTTATGCAGTCCTATTTTATTCTCTGCTTCTCGCACACCAATTTCAGCAACTTGAAAAATGGCAATGACGGCTCGTTCTTGTGACTCTTTCAATAGCATGAACAGGAATGTTAACTAAGATTGAAAATGGAAGCGAAATGAATCAGACTGTAAAAGAAATGGTGCCAACCATTGAGAAGAGCGAGAAATCCTTGAGGCAGCTCAGTGACGAGAAACACAACTAGGACAACGATAAGCATGTAGGTAGTCCTGTCCGGCACAGTAGTTTTCTTTATGTGCTTCCGAAAACTCTTCGAATATAGATAGTTTCGTTTTTCGTCAGTTTTCCGAAGTTTCAGTACCAATGCAATTGTGAACCATAGTAGCAGAGCACATGGGATTGCCTGAAACAGTGTTAGCGAATGGAAATGAAATTTTAAAAAGCTGAAACAATATTGGTGCTCCCCGATAGCTCGTCGGGTTTGATGAGCTGCTTAACGTTCTACAGCAAATGAACGCTAAAGGGTTCATGTGCTTAAGAGTAGTAGATATTCTTTTTAGTCTAGTGATAAACATAACTGCTTTACCATGTAGTTCGACAACCAGAAACATCCCTTTATAACTTCATTAAGCGTCACAAAGGTGAATGAATGGATAAATAAAAAAGACAAAGCTTTAGGCGTTGATCATTCCTTGAGGGATGCGACATGCACTCGACTTCATAAAGCAATGTTTGGAGGTGATTGAATGCATATCTGGCCTTTACAATGACTCGTGGTCGCCTACCGTTGTATCGAGCCAGTGCTGCTATCCTCTCAGAAAGATCTGGTACCAATTCACAGTCCCTGGAGGGATGGAAAGCTTGGTGAGTCTTGGGTGCGAGGATCGATCCTGTGTGTATTGCAGGGCGCCTCCGACCACTGCGCAACACGCAACATTGGAAAGTATCTGCGCCTATTGATGCACGTGCCCATTGTTTTACGGCAAACTCTCCAAACGTGCTCTTTGGAAGGAGATGGAGAAGAAATTTCAAAGCCAAAGCGCGTAATTTCAAGTGGAAGAATAAATAGAGATGAAATTCGTTTTATTGAAAAGATACCACGATTCCATATAACAGAGCAAAGAAGGGACTTTATCATTCGAGTAAGAATATGATCATATTTTTTAATAAACATAACTTTTGCGACAATCATCCCAACGGTTTACCGCCTCATCGTGGCTGGCAGGTGTTCCTAGGCGCCGGACTGCGGTGAGCAGCGGGGAATTCATCCCTTGGCGGAGTCTCCCAAGCTGAAAAGGAGTCCGGCGTTTCCATCAGGAACTATAGCTAAGAGTAAACCAATACCAGGATTCACCACAGTCTTGGTATGAAACTAGTCGCATGGTGGTAAATCTCTCTCTGATCCACAAGAGCTACGACTGCTTGTGGTAGTGAAGACCTGCGGCAGACTTTGACCAGGCCGACCTCGGGATTCCAGGGAACCACAATGGCTTAAAGGGCAAGTCCCCGACAAAACGAGATTGTGCTGGGGCCCGCACAACCAGTAAGGACGAACCATTCAAGTGTCAAGTGTCAACTTTGTGACAACGGTTGATATACAAGTGAAAGGGAGTGAAAGGGTGAATTCCTGGAGAGTGGAAACACTCGAATTGAACGCTGTGTTAATTTGAAAGGGTTAAAATCAAATGTCAGATGAGCAAAACTGCCGACGATGATAGGGTTTTCCTAAACAGAACGGTTTCGTTTTCTCGGAAAAAAGTGGAAATTGGCTTTTCCATTTAGTTCCCAATTCAAGAATATAATACGAGTTTACCTCACTTTATCACGGTGTCCCTAAATGATCGACAGTTTGTCTTTTGATTATCGATATTTTGCTCTTATAGCCAGATGGAATGGAGGAGTGTTAACCATTGAGCGATTCACAACAATTTATGAAGAAAAGAAAGCAACTTCAATGGATGTTAGTCAGTGTCAACTAAATCCTATCAAAGGGGTGGTACGATGCTACCGGTGGGATGAAAATAAGGCATAACAATTGGAATTTGTGAGCTTCTTCGGTAGACAACGTGTATTCTCTCACCACTAGATCCAACAGCCCACTGTATCCCATTGCGACCGTTCCGGATTAGATAGATATTATATATTACCCGTCGTTTACTTGGACGGGAGTTCCGCTAAGAGACCACCTAACTAGAGCGACACCAGCACTGTTCATGGAAAGCGTAATCACCGGTTCGAATCGCATTTGATATTTCGAGTTTTGCTCATATCTCAGCATTTCTTACCTGTTGAATACTTGCAAACATACTGAACTCATTGCTCTCTTCTTCCTTTCTGGACTGAAATATTTTTAGACTCGAGCTCTATTTGGTTCACATTTGGACAGACTGCAGGTGACTGCGGTGGAGAACGAACGCGATACTGTCCTTGACCTGGGGAGTAACGCGTTCACCACCAAACCATGAGGGTCCTTCGTTTCGCCTATCTCTCAGCTCTGTCTCTTAAAAAAAGCTAACATTGTGATTTCGACTATAGCATCAGCTTAACTGGGCTCGTTGCCGATTTGGGCTCCTCTCTAGATCAATCCCGTTGACTGTTGATCGCCGATGGCGCTGGTCGATAGGAGTTGAGATACAGGCGAAGCAAAGGACCCGCATGGTGTGGTGATAACGCGTTACACTCCGGAAAGGACAATCGCGCGTTCGTTCCCCACCGCAGACACCTGCGGTCCGGCGTTTTGCAAATATCTCAGTATTACAGTAGTTATATTTCGCAAAATACCCTGCCGTTAAAAAGAATAGGCAGTAAATAAAAAGGTTAAGAATGTGATTATAGCTATAGCCTCAGCTCAACTAGGTTCAATGCCGATTTGGGCTCCCCAGATCAATCCCGTTTACGGGTGATTGCTGATGGCAAAAGATCGATAGTTTTATTATACTTGGCACTTGACACTTGAATGGCCCGTCCTCACTGGTTATGAGGGCTCCAGCATAATCTCCATTTTCTGGAGATTTGCTGGTTAGGCCGTTGTAGTTTCTTGGAGTCCCGAGGTCAGCATGGTCAAAGTCTGCCCCAGGTCTTCACCACGGGCAGTCGCAACCTTTGTGTATCAAAGGGAGATTTGCCACCACGCGACTAGTTTCATACCAGGACGGTGATAGATTCTGTCATTGGTTTACTCTTAACTATACTTCTTGATGGAAACGCCGGACTCCTTTTCAGCTTGGGAGACCCTGCCAAGGGATGAATCCCCCACTGTACATCGCAGCCTCACACCTAGGACCACCTCCCAGCCACGATGAGGCGGTAAACCGTTGGCAGGGGTTTTACTAAAACGAATAACATTCAACATGAGATAGCTGTATTGGTCGAAAGTTGAAAGCGGTCATAGTGTTCGCATAGTATGATTTTTACAGTGTTCATGTCTTCACCTAAATATTAATATGCGCCGCCATTTCGACGTCCTTCATAACATGACTGGGTGTGATTGAGTGCATATTTGGCCTATACAAGAAATTTGAAGTCGCCTATCGATTGCCAACCAAGTGTCTTTTGGCTGTTAAATAGGGCTGGCCCTTATTTGCCGATACTTAACAGGTGTAAGGGTTGATTTTCGAGAGCGCGGGGTGGAACCAACGACTCTGCGTGCATTAGAACGTATCTCTGGTCAGTGCACTACACGTGCTTTTTGGTGTCTACGAAGTGAAACGATACAGTAATTGATCACAAATTAATTAACCATAAACAACTTTAAACTTGTAACCGACTTTCATTGCTATCGCCAACATCCATAGATTGAATTTATAGAATCCACATGAATAGTATGAGAAGTCCAACGTATAAGACGGTAGCGAATTCCTGTCTAAAATTAGGATTTGTTCGATATATTTTGATAACTTTATTGTAGTTTTAATAGTTTAATAGTAGTGCTCTTTATTTGACTACCCAACACCCAATCATTTATCTTTTTATTTAAATGAATAAATAATAATGTTATATCGATTTCCTTTCTATTAGTACGCTCATTAATACCTTCAATATCGGTGGATACGACGAAGATTTCGTGTAACATCATTGTGGGCACACACATTATCGATATGGAAGCGGTAATAAATGCGAAAAGCTTCCTGAAATGAAAAGAATCCAAATTTTCTCGAGTTCTCCACAAAAAAAGTCGGTAGAACACTGCCTGGTCACTGCTCTCGAGGATCCTTGAATAATTAAACCCTTCTGATAATCCATACTGTAACGACATTCACATCTTATCCATTGCTAATCAAGTGCTCAAATATTCACCACCTCTTCTTTCTCACTAGATGTCCTTTGCCTTAGAAATATCCTATCCTATATGGCTTTTTGTCTTATTAAACTTTGAACATTTTGAATCTGATCGCCATTCAGTGATAGTGTTTTCTCCTTTAAACTACAAAGACTATGGATTATAGTTAACTACAAAAATCATGGGCGCGTGTGGCGCAGTGGTCAGAGGAGCCGTGCAACACACACGTGGAATCGATCCCAGCGCCCATGGCCCACCAAGGTTTCCATTCCTCCGGGGTCCGCAAACTGGCACCAGACTTGTCTGGGAGAATAGCAGCACTAGCTCGACACAGCGGTAAGCCACCGCGAGTCATTGTAAAGCCCAGACATGCATTCAATCCCCTCAAAACAATGCTTAATGAGGTCGTATGCACGGCGCATCCCTCAGGGATAGATCAACGTCGAGAGCTTTATCCTTTTATCCTTCTACAAAAATCACATACAAATAATCTGAATAAAAGAAACACTTTTACGGGTGATAACAACAAATATCCGTATAGAGGATCTACAGTATATCGGTTGTGATGCTAAGTGAAGTGATTTCAGGTCGTCGTCAACAATTCATTAATGCCTAGGAAAAAAGAGCATAAGTTATTCCGAGGAGAATATTCAAGCAAGAGGCTATGAATCACTAAATCAGCCTATTCAGGAATTCAGGCTATGTAATTATGTAAGCGATGAATTCTATTAAATTATCTGCATATATCTTAACTCTTTTATTTACTGCCTTTTTCTTCTTAATGGCAGGGCATGTTGCGAAATATAACTCGTATGTAATGCTGAGATATTTGCAAAACTCCGGACCGCAGGTGTATGCGATGGGGAACGAACACGCGCTGTTGTCCTTACCGGGGAGCAGCGCACTTCACTACCACACCATCCGGGTCCTTCGTTTTGCCTGTCTCTCAGAAGAATGCAGTAAATAAAAGGGTTAAGATTGTGATTATAACTAAGCCTCAACTTAACTGGGCTCAATGCCGATTTGGGCTGCCCAGATCAATCCCGTTAACGGGTGATTGCTGATGGCAAAAAGATCGATAGAACTAGCTCAGAGACAGGCAAACCCCATTGAACCCAGTTAAGCTGAGGCTTAGTTATAATCAAGATCTGATCTGATAATCTGATGGCGAAAGATCGATAGAACTAGTTGAGAGACAGGCAAAACGAAGGACCCGGATGGTGTAGTGGTGCAGTGCGCTACTCCCCGGTAAGGACAACAGCGCGTGTTCGTTCCCCATCGCATACACCTGCGGTCCGGAGTTTTGCAAATATCTCAGCATTACATGCGAGTTATCTACATATATTTTCTTATGAACTGTCCTTTTTAGCCGAGGCAAGGTTGATATAGATCTTCCTGTTGGTGCTGTTGTCCTTTCCAATGGCTGACGTTTCGGCGACTTGGTCTTTCTCAGAGCCTTGCTGTTGAACATGATCATCATCCCTCGTGAACAACACACGGAAGAACATAATGGCGAGGCTCTAAAGAAGCTGAAATCGCCGAATCGTCAGCCATTGGAGAGCACAAAAGAACAACAGCGAGATCTATGTCAACATCGCGTCAGCTAAAAAGGGTAGTTCGTAAGAACATATACACAGATATATCGATTATTATGCCAAGGTTTATAGAATGTCTGTTAGATTAATATTTATGACAATCGACAACAGCGTTAACGAAATCGCAGTAGGGACGACGACGATGCAAGCCAGGAATATGTCGTATATCGCAAACAGTTAAAAATTTGGGAGATCGTTCTATACGAGAAATTATCGCTGAAAAGGTGTGTCAGACAGGCAATACGTTGTTAAAGACGATCGATGGACAGGAACCGTTAACGACTGTATTCTCTGGGATGTCAAACGTAAAGCAAGAACACCATCGACCTGATGATAAGAGTTTTTCACGACAAGCGTAGAAGAAGGATGTGATGCTGAATGAATCTCTAGAGCGAGCATAACGCACTGGTCTACCGTTGCCCGCAACAGGGATAAGTGGGAAATTTAGTAGGGCTCCATCAAGCCACTCGATGAATAACAAGAGCACGACAGGTGACAGTGGTGCCGACCACCTATTCTCGCTAGGTCGACGTTCGGAATGATTTTTTGGATTGCCGAAAAGCTAATGGGGATTTATTTATCGAGGAGAATAATCGTTAGCTTAATTTTAGTCTTTTTTGCGAAATATAACTTCTATAATGCTGAGGCATTTGCAAAAGTCTGGACAGCAGGTGTCTGCAGGCCCTTCGTTTCGCCTGTCTCTCAGCTAGTTCTATCGACCACTTGCCATCAGCAATCACCCGTCTGAGAGAGAGGCGAAACGAAGAACCCGCATGGTGTGAAGGTGAACGCGTTACTCTCCGGAAAGGACAATAGCGCGTTCGATCCCCACCGCAGACACCTGCGGTCCAGAGTTTTGCAATTATCTCAGCATTATAGAAATTGTTACCTTAGCTAAGTCAGATGTTTAGAGGCAGTAATGACGTTTCGTAAATGCAGAACATGGGTCTCACGGTGTTAGATATGACGAACAACAGCTGTACGTCAAAGGTGACTTGGATATCCGCGTTAATATCGTTAAAATATTGGTATTATTTAAAGAGCAGCTGATTCATGTACAACAGGTTTCCAGGATATTTGCGATGTCACAAAAAAGCCGACAAGGAATCAGGAAAACGTCTCTCACCATGCAGATGATGGTTGCAGCCATCTGCTGTGAATGTTGCCGAGTGCTTGCCATCGGATGAAAGCCAGCGCCGATCCCATATAGAGCGTGATTGCATGAAGAGCGATACTGATCACTACATGAATCTTCAAAAACATCATCCAATTGTACGAGTATCCATTTTGACCCTTGAAAGGAGATGGAATTTGTAGTACGAAGCAATCGCTACCATTTCCATAGCAAAAACATTTTTAAAGAGAGGCATACACATTTATATATATATATATATATATACATATATATATATATACCGTTCCAGTCACGTTATGGAACGTTACGTAGTGGGATATATTAGTAGGGAGAGGATAGCACAGTGGCAGTGATGTCTGTCATCACGACCATGGTGCTAGTTCGACTTCACTCCGAGCCAACCAAGCCTCTCACTCCCCCGGTATCGAGAACTTGGTGCCTGACATGTTCGAGAAGAACTCATTCCCTGCAATCCAATTGGGAGCGCTCCAGCCTAGCTATTTCAGGACTCCAAGGAAAATTGCTCGACCAACATTCTAAGACATTCAAGATGAAATGAAAATCCTCAAGTAGCAACCGAAGCCACACATAAAAGTTGGAAGATCTTCGTCGACAATGGATGTGACGAAACGAATCGAATGTGCAAAGTGCTGGGATCCGCACGGTAGACGTGAAGACTGGTTATATAAAAAAATATGTATATATGTAACGTTCACACATAGATACATACACATAACAATACGTACACATTCACATATACAATACATACACATAGACACACAAACACACACATTTCACATGCATACATACACATACACATATACATACGTGGAAAAACATGCATACACACATGAACACATTCACACACTTTGATTTTAGGCACTTGGGCAAGTAAATGTCTTTAGTAATAATGCAGAAATTTCTGATACATTTAGTGTTTTCTTTACAAGGAGACAGGCCGCCCACCTGATAAATGCGAAACCGGAATAGGTAGATAATGTACGACGTCATAGTGACCACATCACAGAAGGCGACTGCGGTCAGCACGCAGTTCACCGCGCATCGCCTCAATCGCGGTTGTGACAACACCAGAATGTGAACACCATTCGAAATCACTCCAATCACACAGATCACCAAGCAGACATAACGATGAAATACCGTATAGACACTGAAAATCGTAAGCATTAGAATTTACCAGGGTTGTGGAAAAAGAAAGGAAGAGAGCCATGTTTCCCATTTTTGCTTTTCATTTGTGTGAAGGTAGAGATACGAAATCTACGAATAGAAGGAAAAAGCGCTCAGTGTTGATCAATGGCTGCAGTCGCCTGCTGAATTCGAATCCATTCACAGACCGTAGAGGCGATTAACATAAGGAATAAATGAGAACAATAGCAGCATCACATATTACCGTGCCGTCAAAAATTGTAATAGGAAGCAGAGGAAAAGTTAACATTGTAATTTCAACTACAGTCAGCTTAACTTGCGTTCGTTGCAGATTTGAACTCCTTAGATCAATCCCGTTGATGGGTGATTGTTGATGGCACTGATCGATAGAACTAGCTGACAGATAGGCGAAACAAATAACCCGTATGGTGTTGTGGTGAACGCTTTAGTCCACAGAAAGGGCAATAGCGCGTTAGTAATTCTTCTATTTTTCCCTGTTGCGTACAAGAGTAGCCCAGGGGATTCTGCTCTCTTTAGGAACTCGTCGAGCATCATATCTTTCTTCAAGACTCTTTGCGAAGAACTCTGATCATCGCCTCCGTGGTCTTCTTGCAGTACGTTTGACATCCTGAGGAATCCAGTCATTAACGACTCTTCTCCATCGGTTGTCATTCATATGCATTACGTGTCTCGCCCACCTTATCTTCGACTGTTTGGCGAACAGAACGGCATCTTTGATTTTTGATCGTTGACGCAGGTCGGAGTTTCGGATCCCATCCCTTAATTGTGTGAAACGGCATACTCCTAGCATCGTCCTTTCGACTGCGCGTTCGATAACGTTGAGTGACCTTTGATCCTGCTTAAGCAGCGTTCAGGTTTCTAACGCATACGTTAAGGCAGGAAGTACCGTTGAGTCGAAAAGGTGGGCACGGAGGCGGGTGTTCTACGTTCCCTTTACCACATCCTTGATGCTCTTGAAAGCTCCCCAAGCCGCTGGTTTTTTTTCTGCTTATTACTGGAGCTAGGTCGTTTATCACAATGATTTCCCACCCTGGATAGATATAACTGGAGCATTCAGATTTACTCGTTCCGTTGAGCGTGAATGGGGCATGCAAAACCAATCCGTTCTTCATAAACATCGTTTTTGTGAGATTCAGTCGAAGACCAATCTTTCCACAGGCTTTATCAAAGTCGTCAAGCATACGTTCCGCTCCGCTAATGATTGGCGTTATAAGGACGATGTCATCAGCAAAGCGAAGATGGTGCAACTGCCGACCACCGATATTCACTCCCATATTATCCCATTCCAATGTTCGCATGATATTCTGGAGCGTGGCGGTAAATAATTTTGGGAAGATGGTGTCACCTTGTCTAACTCCTCTTTTAACATCAATGTTAATATCGTTGTAGAATGGTAATACCTTGGATGCGAAATGTTTGCACAGCCCACGAAGAATCTTTATGTACTGAGTAGGGACTCCTTGACTGTCAAGGGCTTCCAAGACTGCTTCTATCTCAACTGGATCAAAGGCCTTCTGTAAATCGATGAAAGCGAGACAGAGCGGTCTTTTGTACTCTCGCAATACTTCAGTGAGCTGTGTTACCGTGTGTATGTGGTCCATCGTACTAAATCCTCTTCGAATTCCTGCTTGCTCACATGGCTGTCCTTCGTCTAGTGTTCTGTCAGTCCTGTTTAGGATGACTCGAGTGAAAAGTTTGTAGATGACCAACAGCAAGCAGATTGGGCAATAGTTGCCGATATCGTGTAGAGTAGGTCACCCTTCTTAAACAATAACACGGCCTTGCTTGTCTTCCACTGAGTAGGGACCTTGCATTCAGACAGGTAACGTGTGGAAAGCCAAGCCAGTGTGTTTACGTGGACTGACGGAAGGTTCTTCAGGTGTTCTGGTCTTATGCTGTCCGGACTTGGTGCCGTTCGATTTCTTTTTCACCGACGAAATGGCATGTCGGATTTCGGAAGGAAGAACAGGTGGTACAACGTATCCATCCTCCTTTATTTCATGTGACCGAAGGTGGACGTGGCTATCGAAGAGTTCTGAGTAGTATTCGTGAATGATTTTCTCCTCTGCCTTTCTGGACTCTGTTACTGTTCCGTTTCGACGCCGGAGAACAATCATTTTGGTTTTGTAATTGGCGAAACATCGGTGGGCTTTGCGAATGCTTTTCCCAGCCTCTGCAGCTTCGACCATTACTGCTGTTCTTTCTTTAAGATCCTCTTTCATCGCCTGTCTGCGTTATTTTGCAAGTTCGGACGTTAGTTCGCGGTTGCGTGCAGCTCGTGCGATTCCACACTAGCGTATCAGCTCGAGTGTTTTTGGAGATAAACGTCTCTTGGTGACTTTCGAACTTTCAGCTTTCATAGCGCTAGCGCGAAGATGTTGAATGAGCCGATGGTATTCTCCGTCGATTGTGCGAGCCCCAGCACAATTTCCAATGTCTGGAGATTTGCTGGTTTAGCCATTGTGGTTTCCTGGAGCCTCGAGGTCAGCTTGGCTAAAGCTAGCCCCAGGTTGTCGCCACTAAAGGCAGCCGCCACACTTGTGCGTCAGATGGAAATTTTCCACCATGTGACTAGTTTGATGCCAGGATGGTAGTGAATCGTGGTGTTGGTTTACTCTTAGCTGGGCTTCCTTATGAAAACGCCGGACACCTTCTCAGCTTGGGAGAACCCTTTGAGGGGATGAATCCCCTCGCTGTATCTCGCAGCCCGACACCCAGAAACAACTCGTAGCCACGATGAGGCGCTAAACCGTTGGGCAGTTGGCGAGATAATACAGTAAATAGTACAAATTTTCCCTTAAAAGTCATATTAGAATGCGAAAATAGTTCTTCGTTTCCTTTTTCCAAAAATATGTAGATTTTTCGTAACAAAAGCTTGAAAAACTGCTATGCCATAAACATTTAGGAAGGAACCGATTATTATAACAGCGTCGGAGTTGTTCGCCTAGGAGCTTTTCCCACACTACACTTCACAAAAGAAAGAAACTGAACTCAATTCTGGATTCTGGACGAGAACGAGGAAGAAGAGCGTGAAGATGAGGGGAGAACGATGAGGAACAAAAGTATCAGAAACGAAAATCACCCGTATACAATATGTTCGGAACATTTGCCACAATCAATGTCATTAAAGTCGCAAATCATTTATGCTCACATTCTTATTGGCAATTTATTAAAACGTCGTGGATTGCGTGAATATGATACCAATGAAGCAAGTCAGACAGGAAAAGAAAACTTAAACATTGATTTATGCAGATCAAAAGCCACGGCACGGTGACTTACTGAAGAAGACAAATGGGATTTGAAAATTAGATTGCTTAAGAAAAGCTGCATTCTCACTGCCTCAAACTCGAAATTTACTTTCTTTTTTGTTATTTTTTACTGCTATTTCTTAAAATTCTTATCACTGAAGTTATTACTTGATAACGATTGAAGTAAGTTTACTAGTTTAGTAAGTTTATGAATTATTGTAATGAGGCATGATATGGATGTGTTTGATCCTAATGCTTAAAAACCTGATTTATTTTCTGGGAGAGGTAATAGAGAAAACAAACGAACAAATATTTTGTTTACCTTTTTGTTTTAAGATCAAAGACGGTTAGGAAAACAATGAAAGAGTGATATTTGCATATTACATTATGTGGTATCAAAAATACAAAAAGTACAATAAAATAGAAAAAACTGCCTCCCAACGGTTCACCACCTCATTGTGGCTAGGAGGTTTTCCTGGCTGTTCGACTGCAATGTGTAGCGGAGAATTCTCCACCCGAGAGGTTCTCCCAAGCTGAGGAGTTCGGCGTTTTCATCAGGAAGCCTAGCTAAGAGTGAACCAATGACAGAATCTATCACCGTCCTGGTATGTGTCTAGTGGCATGGTGACAAATCTCCCTCTGATCCACAAAGGCCGGCGACTGCCCGTGGTGTTCACGATTTGGGGCAAACTATCGCCAGACTGAACTTGGGACTCCAGGGAGCCACAACGGCTAGGTCAGCAAAATTCGGAAAAAATGGGAATTATGCTGTGGTATGCAAAACCAGTGAAAACGGTCCATCCAAGTATCCAAGTAAGGATCAAAAATAATTGTTGTTGAATGGAATGCGTGACAAATAAAGTCGGCATTATTGGAAAAAAAATATGAAGTGAAATATTGAAAGCTTTGAAAGAAGGGTAAATGACTAACTTATTAAAGAAACAATACGAAATGAAACGTTACAATCGGAAAAAAGAAAGATGCACAACCCACCTGTTGAATTTTTCAAGTTGCTTAACAAAATTCAGCACCAGTGTGTCATTGAGATCGAATAAACTTCGCTCGTCGTTGCACATTACACCTCCTGTAGAAAAATTATTAAAGCTAAGAAAAAAACGAGCGAAAAAATCGAGCGATAAAAAATTACGCTTTGGTTGTAGAACCAAGTGGATCCTGAGATATGAGTTAAACTTGGAGCCTCACTTGGGTTTTGGACCTGCGCCTATCCCTGCTGGCGGTACCACGGTTGCACCCACCACACCAGCCGAAGCCCTTGCTTTGCCTGTCCCTCAGCCACGTTTTTATTATATCGGTGTTATCAAAAACATGGGTAAAGGAAAGGCAAAGCAAGGATCTCGATTCGTGTGGTGACCATAGTCATGGTGCCGCCAACAAGAATAGTCGCGCGATCGAAGCCCACCTGAGGTTCACAGTTTTGCACATAGTTGTAGTTCACCTTCTACTGTGCCATGAAAGAAATAAAAAAACAGAAAATAAAAGTCCGAAGTCGATGATTGTGTCGAGTTTTTTAGGGATAAGGAAACACTGGTGAAGTATAGAAGCGAGAAAGTTTATTTTTTAGCCTCCCAGTCCTGTGATTATGGATTTCCTCACAAACCTGCCGATACTGCTAAACTTAACCAGGAAAAAACAACGAATCTTGTTAAATTTCCAAAACTTTTTTCGGAATTCCATGGAAAATTTCAGCGACATCAAAAGCGAATGATGTTTCATCTTCTTTTCTCAAAAGTG